TCGTATAGGTGACTTCAGCATGGATTGAATTGAGAAATTCATTTCGACTTTAGTCTTCCTATAGGTGACATCTAGAGTATGATATTTTATATTTTTACCTTAGGAGTATGATATTTTTCCCTCGAAGATATCTCGAACATTCTTATGCATATAGGTTTGGATCATGTCGAGTTGACCAAGACCTCAGTGACATTTTCCTTTAATATTTTGGTGATAGAAGGAAGGCTCGATGTCATAAAAATGTTCGTCTACCAACCCTCTCAATAAACGTTCGAGCGAAGAAGTTCTACCCTCGACCCGTAGTACTTTCATTTAGGGAAGACAACAGTCACCCTTTTCGCATGTGAATGCATCCACCTTGGTGTAAACACCGACGTGATACGGGAATCTATTCAATGACTCCAAACCAATCGCTCATCCCTACTAAAGTATTATTAAATCTCACTAAATAAGTACAAATGCTAATGGACATTTTGTAAGTTATAATTTCGCTCTTGCCCTAGGTAGCCCAACAAGCGATGTCACCATCTCAACCGCGATCAACAACTCAACTACCACCGACATCTAATAGGAGACCCCAATAAGATAAAAGAGAATAGCAAAGTGAGACTATTGCCTGATTCATAGATAAAATATTATTGCTCGACCGACGATCCTCCCCAATGATAGAGGTCGAGGATATCGACTATGACTGCTTGCTCGACCACTATAGCTCTCGAGCTAACGCTAACCAGGACTTCGGAGATACGTGCCATCATTCACGTGATTTGCTTGCAAGACACATATGATTAGAAAAATCCATTATAGTGGAGGTGCAAAGCTAAATGCGCTTAGAGATGAATAAGTCGGAAAAATCTGACCCATACTAAAATAAATTTGCTACGACGGAGATGCAAGACAAAATATGCTTAAGACACATAAGTCGGGAAAACCCGATCCATTCCAAGTTAAATCTACTATAGTGGAAGTGTAAGGTCAAATGCGCTCAGGACACGTAAATCGAGAATATTCAACCTATTGTAAGATAAATCTACTACAACAAAACCTGACCAGCATGAAGATAACTCCATTGTGACGGAGGCACAATACCAAATGTGCTTGAAACACATAAGTCTGAAAAACTTAACTTACACTAAGATAAATCTGCTATGACGGAAGCGTAGAGCCAACTGCGCCCGAGATATACAAGTCGAGAAAAATTGACCCGTGCTAAAATAAATATGTTATGATTGAGACACAAACCCAAATGCACTTGAGATGTGTAAGTTCAAAAAATTTAACCTATGCTAAGATAAATCCTCTATAGTGGAGGTGCAAGGCCTGTTGGGAAATCTAGAGGCGACATCACATGAGCGGTGGAAGAACAGAAAATAAAAACCCTAAATGTTCCAAAAAAGGTGTTCACCATCGTGCAAAGATTTGTGTGCAAAATCGGCAAAACTTGAATCCACATGTGAGATAGTGTTTTACGTAGGGAGATCGTATATCCCTGAAATCTTGCAGATCTGTGGGAGAGGATGAAGGAGGTCAAGTGTCCTCCTCTCTAGCGGTAATCCATACAGCAGGACTACAACGACGCTCCTTAAATCTTCATGCCTGCTATATGAGGAGAAGAAGGGGAGAAGAGAATAGGAGGTGGTAACCTAGAAGCTCTAGCCTATGGGCCTTTAGTTCTCTCTTATTTATAAAGGCCTCCAATTAACTTAACCCTAATGGATCTTACCCTATTGGGTACTGGATCTCTATTAAATTACCCAAGCCTCTTAGAATAGTGGGTATATACCCAATAATCTCTTATTAGCTCTTATTGGATCTCATTCATGGATCTAATAATTCAGGGACTTATTGGATATTCAATAAGATAGGGGTTCCGATGGATATCTCATATATGAACCTCTACTCATTGCAACACCTGCCATATGTGTGTGACCCTCTATGCCCAATATCGAGCTAGCCATGAGTCATACCCGTCAGAACTCCTTCTAGCTCAGTGAATTATTATCTCTATAACAATTCACTCGACTCATCGACTATAAACGTACTAAGTCACTAAGCCACAGTCCTCAAATGATACAGGGGAATCCAATCATTTGGACCTATCTATCCCCAGTTACCATGTACATATAGTCCCCCGTCCATCTAATATCCCATAAACTGCATACCAGTCATAATGTTATCAGTCTCATACGGTTTCTCATCAAGTCTCGCTCTAATCAGATTCTCTTGAAGAAATCTTTCTCTCTTAATCCGAACTACCTTAGCTAAGAATTTATCTGAGTAAGAATATACACGATATTCCTCTCATGATACCGAGAGCGGATGATCCTCTATCGACACTCAATAGCCCTTATAAGGTTCGCTGCAACTCATAATAACTGGTTGTACTAGATTTGGAACTTCCAAACCTATAGGTATGGTATCAAAGAGTGGAGTACAGATATAGTACATCTTTGGTGTCTCAAATTTAAGGATCAGATACACTACTAGGACTACGGAATTATTGTCTGACAATCAATGACCATCAACTATCCAGCATTCCATAAGTGGATCAATCAGTGAACTCATTCTCTAATAAGGTCATGCACTGTATCCTTAGTGTCCCCACACGAGTAGCTATGAGATCAACCGCCTCTATCATATGGACGAGTATATAGCATACCAATATGTCCAGTTATCTCGATGTCCATCTTGAGTAACATATGACCAGGATTATTTAGGATCTATGTTTAAAGGTAAATTAGTCTCATTATTATGATCTCATCACCATTTGATTCTTATTGCACAGATCCATGGATATTACAATATATTTATGCATGCAACAAGCAATATAAAGTGATAAAAATGCCAAATAATATAATAAGAGAAAATAATGTATATCATGTCACACGTGCCATCACTCACTTGATTGGCTTGTAGGGCACCTATGACTAGCAAGGCTAAATGCGCATGAGATGCATAAGTCGAGAAAACCCGACTCACGATAAGATAAATCCGCTATGATGGAAGCTTAAGGCTAAATCTACTCAAGACACACAAGTCAGGAAACCTCGACTCATGTGAGGAAAAATATGTTATAGCATATGCGTAAGGCCAAATGTGCCCGAGATACGTAAGTCGAGAAAATCTGACCTACATCAAGATATATGTGCTACGATGAAGGTACAAGGCCAAATACGCTTGAGATGTGTAAATCGAGAAAACTCGACCCACGTGAAGAAAAATCCAATATAGTGGATACACAATGTCAAATGTGTCTGAGATTCATAAGTCAGGAAAACTCGACTTGTGCCAAGATAAATATACTATAGTGAAGGTGCAAGGTCAAATGCACATGAGACACGTAAGTTAGGAAAACCTAACCCACGATAAGATAAATATGCTATGGTGAAGATGCAAGGCCAAATGCACTTGAGAGTTGAGATACATATAAGTCAAAAAACTCAACTCACATGATGAGAAATCTATTATTGAGGAGGTGCAAGACTAAATGCGCCCAAGACATGTGACTTGAGAAAACTCGACCTGTATCAAGATAAATCTACTATGACAGAGAGGTAAAGTCAAATGTGCTTAAGACACATAAGTTAGAAAAATCCGACCCACGTGAAGAGAAATCCTTTACGATGGAAGCGTAAGGCGAAATGCGCCTAAGATGCTTGAGTCAAGAAAACTAGACCTGCTTAATAATAAATTCGTTATGGGGGAGGGGCAAAGCCAAATGTACCCAAGATGTGTGAGTTGGGAAAACCTGACCAGTACGAAGATAAATCTGTTATGACAAAGGTGCAAAGCTGAATATGCTTGAGACGTGTGAGTCCTAACTCACGCCAAGATAAATTCACTACAATGAAGGCACAAGGCTAAATGTGCCCGAGATGCATTAGTTACGAAAATTTGACTTATGTTAAGAGAAATATGCTACGGTAGAAACACATGGCTAACGTGCCCAAAACACCTAAATCGAGAAAATCGACCTGTAAGACGAGATCCCAAATGCTCTCATATGAGACGAACTAACCGACATACTTACGAGAGGGGACAAATAATAGAGAATATATTATCAGCTAACATGTGATTGCTATGTGAGATCCAAGTCACCTTCCACCCATCTCGAAAATTCAAAGCAGAGAAACACAAACCTCTTTCTTGTCCATTATGACAAGGAAGACAATCACAAGCTTCCTCTCATCTATTATAACGAGGAAGACAATCATAAACTTCATTTTTATTTTCTAAGGTATAATATCATATCTTAAACCCAATACAAGTGACTTGTTTTAAACTATTTAAACTCATATTTGAGGACCTTAAATTACTAACTCGGATCGATTTGAGAAATCCCTCTCAATCTTAGTCTTCGTGTAGGTGGCACCTTAAGAATACAATATTTTCACCTATGAAGCACAATATTTCTATATTGAAAGTATATTATTTTCACATCAAAGATATCTCGAATATTTCTATGTACAAGATCTCGAATATTCCTATCTACAAGAGTATTGATAAAGATGTCAATAACATTTTTTCTCAACAAGAAGGATAAAAAATATAATACTAAAAAAATATTATTATTATATAAAAATAAAATGATTTACTTTATTTCTCGCCCATTAAAGTCGGATCAAAACCATATATAAAAATATTTGAAGCTTCTCTTAGCCAAATTATGAGTCGATATATGACTCTCTCGGGATGTAACTAAAACTAATTATATTCACTGTTTGGGTTAATTATTATTCTTAAGTTCAAATAATGTGATGAAAGGATTTAGAAAATCGATGCCTTGTTATCCCCAAATCGTCCATGGTGACCTGTCTTTAAGACCATGAGTCCGAATCAAAAAGTACAGCTGTCGCACCTTCGACGGCGCCGTGAGCTCAGTGGCTGAGCCAGGACCCAATCTAAGCGTGTCCGTTCGCCGTCTCCATGACCAACCGTTCGATTTAGATCCAACGGATGAGGAGGTCATCACTACTTCAGATATCTCTCTCTCTCTCCCCGTCCCGTACCAAAGGCCTAAACCCTCTCGCTGCTTTCCTCTCCTCGCTCACCAACGATGGCGGAGAGAAAGGGGAAGCCCGTGAAGGCGGAAGCGGACGAGGAATACGACGAAGACGACGTTCCCCTCTCCGTCGTCTCCAAGGCGAAAGCCGCGAAGAAAGAAGATCCGGGCAATGGCGAAGACGACGAGGACGAGGACAAGGAAGACAACCTGCCCCTCTCCCTCTCCAAATCCAAGTTCAAGAAATCCAAAAGCCCCTCTTCTAAGGTCAAAAAAGAAGAAGAGGACGGATACCAGGATCAAAATGTGATTTTTCTGCAGAAAGAGCTTTTCTTTAGCTGTTCTATAGGTGCTTATGGGGTGAAATGTGTTTGAAGGTCAAGAAGAGGGAAGAGGGGAAGAGCAGTGGGAAGCCCTCCAAAACAAAGAAAAGAGAAGCGGATGATTCAGAAGATGAGGATTTCAAGGTTTTCGGCTTTTATTCCGGTGCGTTTCGGTTTTGGCTTTCTTTGGCTGTGGATTTGATTTGGGTTCTTCTTCTTCTTGTTGAAGGACAAGAAGAAACAGATGAAGAAGAAGAAGAAGAGGATTGGGGAGGAGAAGGTGATCGGGAAGAAGGGTACGGCTTCCGTTGCTGCTGTTGCTGCCGGGAAGGTAAAGAGGGAGAAAAAGGTTTATGATTTGCCGGGGCAGAAACACGACCCACCGGAGGAAGTATGTTCTTCTTCTCCCTAGAAAGAAGCACTCTGAACGCTCTTCCGCATACTTATGTTAGGTTTTCTGGTTGAGGATAATTTTGCTTGTTGCATCTCTTTTGATGTTTCAGAGAGATCCATTGAGGATTTTCTATGAGACGCTCTACGATCAGGTTCCAGAGAGCGAAATGGCTGCATTCTGGTGTTCTTCTTCTTCTTTTTCTCTTGCATAAAACAGTGCTTTTTTCTTTTTTTCTTTAACTATATGAAGATATAAGGAATTTACTATTTGTTTTATGATTTTATTGATACTACAAATGAATGTTAAACCTAATGTATTTGATCTCATATTGATAAAAACACATGCTTATTGCATCTTAAGCTTTCTCATCTTTCCGAACAAATTTTATACTCTGGTTTGCTGTTGTTGTAGTCTTATAGGTGAAACTTGCTAGCTTTACAATATAAACATCCTCCTTCTGTTGCCATGTTCTGCCTATGACTCTGATGCCGCATGCGTACTGGTCTGATAAAATTTCGGTATGAGCATTAAGACTACTCTGATGCAGCGTGTCGTGTTGGTTGATACATATTGGTTTGATAAAATTTTGGTATGAGCATTAATGCCTGACCTTAGTTTAAGGTGATATGCATCTTTTAAACGATAGCTATAGATGTGCTGATGCATTGAGGTGAAGCAATTAGGATTAGTTGTATCAGAAGAGGTAGAGAAGGATCTAAGTTCATTTTATCAGAAACAATAAAACAAAAGTTTGATGTCTCTTAGTCTAGCTAACAATTTTGCTCTCATCAAAGCTCAATGGCTGCAAAAGATCCATAGTATTGTCTTAGTTGTTTACATTTTTATGTTCGGCATATTCTTCTTAAGCTAAGTTAATTGCTGAAGAAATATGTGCTCATCGTATGTTATGATAAGTATCTGTCTACCTATCGAGTTAGATTCTGAAGTAATGATTGTTCTAATTACATGCAGTTTTACTTTTTTTTCCTGGAATGCATTTATCTATATACCCCTCCTATTGCTTCCTTAATATGAATTGATGGAACAGCAGGATGAATATCCATTGATGGTTCATACTTAGAGCTTGAATTGTGTAAGATGATTTGTCTTTCCCCCTTGTCATATTTTTTTTGGGGCTCATTTTACCTATGACATGCTACTATTTTTGTAGCTATTGGATATTTAACACTAGGAGTTCTTTGTATCATCTGTGCTAGAATTGATGATTATTTGTAAATGAATGTTATTAGATTATAGAGTGATGTATGAATTTGAGCATTCTGGCACCAAACCCAAGTGTTCTTAAGAGGCTCGCCAGCGTAACTACCGAGTTCTTGTCTTCATAACTATTATAAGCATAGTAATTTCAGAAGGAAAAATTATGAACTACTGTGACAGTTTGCACTTTTCTTCATGCTTACATACTAATGCGGTCATTGCTATAGTTGACCATCTCGCTTATGGTTGCTGATACCGTAATGAAAAAGAAAAAACCTGTCAATGGTTGCATTGTCTCCAAATCTTTGGTGGCTAACATGGCATTTGGCTTATGCTTCCTTTGGTCATGTTACTGGCTAAAATATTCTGCTTATTGACTTAAATGTTGCCTTTTTTCCTAGGATGATGGAATGGGGTTTGCTTCCATTTAATGAAGCTAAGAAGGTCCATGAGAAGAAGCTAAAGAAGGCCCAGCAACAGAAGCTCAGCTCGCCGGTGAAGGTAGCTTCTGTCAAGAAAACATCGATCGCCACAGTTAAGAAAGTTCCAAAAACAATCTCCAAAACTGTGACTAAGATCCCTAAGAAGCAGAAGGCTAGTGATTCAGAAGCAGACGACGACGACGATTTCATTATGCCAAAAAAGATTAACAAACAGAAGGTTTCCAGCTGACCCAGAACATCACTTGCAGTGCTTTGGTAGTTCCATTTATTTGCTTGCAGTTCCTCATGCTGGTAAGCAGAGGTGAACACTAATCTTGCTCGAAAGGTGTAGAAAGAGGGTTGCTACTAACCAGTACTGCATTGGTACTTATTGGACTGAGTAGATTTACACTCGAAACATGCTCTTGTCATGAAATCATGGGAAATGTTTAGCTATATGGAGAATGGCAACATTTTATGAAGTTCAGTGGTTTTATTGACATATAAAATTGACTTTTTATTGAAAAAGTATTTTCGAGACTAGTAAGAATGAGCCTCGATGCAATGGCAAGATTGTTTGATTTACGATCTGTGTGATAAGATATATAAAACTAGTTTATCTACTACAAATAACTTGGAGACCGTAATAGTGAGTGATTAAGAAAATATCATGCGAACAGGGAATGACTTGAAGGATATCTTCCATTTAGTGATTTGTTTTATCGTTTTCGAGTTATTGGGCCACTTGTTGAACTCCAATTGGTGAAAAATATTTTTCGAATTAAGTACTAACAACTAACATGTCTCTACTTGTCTGAAGGATCTTAATATTTGCAAGACTATATGCACTATATTAAAGTTTATGTAAAAACCTCAAATTGCATATGCATCAGTCACTGATGTCACATTTGTCCCTATGCATTTAAATTTAGCATATATATAGTTTATCATGAGATAATCTTGAGATGTGATTCCCAGAATTACGTGTAAGATTGCATTCTAATATTTCTGTATCCTGGTCTTTCATTGTTATCCATCATCCTAACAAAATCCTTTCTTCGATCATAAAACAACTTTTCTTTGATCATCAAGTTAAAAGTCATGCCCAGGCAAAATCAGAAGAAAAAAAAATTCTAATGAAAATAACCAATAATCTTTGAATCCACAAAGACATCCAAGTTTCCAGTTCTGGAAGCAAAAAAACACAACACACTGGTTTCCAAGTAGAGTCGAAAGCTAAGCGAAGATTAGCTATAAATCCCACAGTGCACAAAATGTTCGAGCTCCCCTTTCCCAATCCGGTGGTCAGTCCTTCCTCAGCTCCATTAACTCTTGTCGGATGCCCGAAGCATTTATAACAACAATTTCTACTTTATCTCCCTGCAAAAGTACCATCAAGAAAAAAAAGAATGACACTGGGATGGATATGTTGGACCTGTAATTGCTAGGGAAACAAACTCATGACCATATCGAGTTGAAAAAATACATACAGTATATATATCCCTTTCAGTTGCTGATGCGAACACATCCTTCACCAAATCAACTGCCTCTGATTCCAACAAAGGTGTGACTGCATCCTGCTCAATTATGCAATGGTTATACTGCTAATGAGGATTCTTGTAATGACACCTCTAAAAAAATTTTATCAAGCAAAATGGGTAGACCTTGGCAGGCAATAATAGAGGACTGGGAGATTTGAGCTGGTTGTCTAAAACAGGTATGATGAGTCCTGCACCGGTGCCTTGGGCACTGTACCCAACTCTCTCATATGATCCAACAGCATCATATGTGAAAACACAACCCTTTCCTGAACCAAAAATCAGTCCAATGATCACATTCTAATATGTTCAAGTACATTTGATAAGAGCTGTAGTTTGGGCTATGCATCCATGAGAATTCGTACCATCACTGTCGAGTCCACCTAGGATGTTGAAAGTGTAGTACGGGAAGAATCGCTTGTAGTAAAGTGTATTGGACAGGAGCTGAGCCATGGCAGGGCAGCTCATCTGTTTGTTGTGCTGATGTTGATAGATCTGCAGCATTAGAAACATCAGCAAGTAATTCTATCGATCACGCTGTGGAAACATATTATATTCCCAACTAATTCTAATACAGAAATTTTCTAGCCAGAGATGCCATCATACAAAAGAATTGTATACTGGTGTGGGTAAACACATATTTCCACACATTAAGAAGGTAATTTGACAGTTTAACCTTATACCATATATGATAGTCCAAAATCAATTCCTTGTTTAGAGTGTTATAACATACTTTTTTCTGACCTTCACCTTTCAAAACACCACACCATTTTAAAAAAATATTAGGCGGATGATGTGAATTCAAACTGCAACCACTGTCCTATTTACAAATTTCTGGGGTTCACGTCCTTTTTCCATGTATATATTAACTCGTGCAGTACTTTGGTAAAAGAAAATATGTTTTGGAATCTTTGCCTATTTCATCTTTCTCCTGACAAATACAATCCTAATCATACTTAGCCTCAATTATCTTGATTAAATAGCATCAGATATCAGAATTCATTAGAATGTGATTTCAAAGTTCTCAAACAAACACAAAAGATCACTCATATCAGCAATGATGAAGTTTTTGCTGCTGTTAACAATTTAAGTCCTCCAAAGTATGCTCAGTCACTCACTATAGCTTTAAGTGTGTTGTCTTCCTTTCTATTTTACTGCAACAAACTGTACATGACCCACGAACTCCTATGATTTCAAGTAATAAGATGTGTGGTCATTTAAGTCAAAACAAGACTACCTCAAAGCTACCATGGGAAGGACAGAGCCATCATACCAACTTAACTCACGAATTATACGTGTTGAAGTCCACCCTGCATCTTCAGGGGAAGCATTTAGATGGCATATACCTAAAGGTGAAGGCATCTTTACTATTATAATGTAAGAAAAAGCACTGCACATCTCAAATGTTGATGACACCCACCATCTTACACTCAGCCAATAGAACAGGAGAGATATGGCCTATACTTTATCTCAATAACTAACAGCCTACTTTCACCATAAAACTTATAGACCACGCTTGTCTCAAGAGTGTAATAATTTAAATAAAGAATCACAGAGATGCCTGTAGAACAGGTCCAAAATATTGATTACCACTAAAGATTATTATGCATTGAGAGGTTAAGGATTTCCATACTTATGAACTAAACTACACCACACTGTTATTGCATATTCAGAATCTAATTGGAGACACACAGTTTAAAGCCTGCAGCTGTGCAATAACCAACATCAAAATTACTAGCTTGTTACAATTAGTTCCGGTGTGAAAGTTAATGTTATTTTGCCCTATAGAGACTTGAAGACCAATAGTTGAAAAAACATGAGATCATTAAATATCCCGGCAATATAAATTAAGATGTTAGGTACATCATTGTCTAGAACTTATGTATTTATGATCCACAATCAAGAAACAATATTCGTAATGAGTTTTCAATTTCATGTCCAGATTTCCAAGAATCACAAGAAAATTTGACAATCTTCAAGTTGACTTTATTATTTCAAATAATGAAAGGATTTATGCTTGATAATTTTGGATTTGGATTATAATATATGAAATTCCTGGTATCCATAACTATCTGAATGTGCACATGTAGTGTTCTAGTGTAAAACTTATAGAGATGCATCATGTGGTTAGAGTTATGTCTAAAAATGTCACAAGAAGGTTATCCAGTTAGTTTCCTGGCACAAAATAAAAGATCAATACAGAAGGAAATATGTTCCATTCAACATACAAGAACCTTCCAAGAATGGACACGTTATCAAGGGAATAACAATATAGAGAAGTACATCGGGAAAAATCATTTAGATGATAGCTTAGCAGGAGTTTGTATGTTTTTAATAAGTGATGATGGAAAATCTAACCAGAAAAATTAATGCAAAATTAATGCACTTAAACCTGTATAACATACAACCCTGTGCATATCCTGGATGATAAAAAAACGGTAAAAGATTTTGGTTATGACAATAATGTATGTTATAGAAAAGAAGTTTTTCCTAATTATGGTATATGTCATGTATATACAAAGTTTGAACTTTGAAACAAGTTGATCAATCTTCTCTAATATTCAACTCTTCCACTATAACTACAGATCTTGCTACAATTCTAGATCTTCTATTTGTGTTAAAAAATACTAGACATAAATCAAAGTTCTAGAATATGTCTTATCAGCTGGTTGGCAACCATCTAAGAGCATGTGCAATGCATTGTATTGGATTTGATCATTGAGGATATATCCATACGAAATTACTACTTAGTATTGTGTCCCTAGTAGTTTCTTTTGTATCATCAGCAAATCTGGGTGTAATCCAATAATAGATAGGAAGGATAATAAGATGCCAGTTTTTAAAATTCCTGTCTCACTTACTCATTCTTAGTCTTTTTTCTACTATTTCCACTTTGATCATGTAATTTTCTTAATACTTGTTGTAATAGCAGCTATTTATACAAACAAGTAGTTGCTTTTCTTATTTTTGAGGTCCAACAAAGGTTATTTAAATCTTACCTTCTTTTTGTATGAAACTCTGACTATGCTCGAAGATGAGCATCTACTATATGTTAGGGTGGTAGTTATATTAGTTAGTAGCTTCCCATTTGATGAAAAACTTCCACAGAATACTGTGAAGCAAACTTAGTTGAAGGCTTCATTCTTTTTAGTCCTCCCCCCTTTTCTGTCTTGTTTGCTTACTTTCATACTTCCAGTTCTCTATTTGCAGCTGTTTGAAAACGTAATACTGAAAGTTTAAGTTCAGTTTTGATCTAAAGATTCTTTTGCAGCAATGGACTTGTTAAAGACTATAAATTGCTTCTATGATTGAGGTAATTGATTAAAGATCTGAGATAACACAAGTCATTTGTTGAACGCGGTTTCCTTATCGACAAGCATGAGCACCAAAACACAATAAGTACACAAATTAGAAATATAGCACCAAAGGAACATGGACATACACACGATCTAACTATCAAATGGAACGATGTAATAAAAAATCGCTGTTTTACCAAGTGCCTCGCCGCCAAGTTCTTCTGCAAAGCCTTCAGATCACCCTGGAAGCCCGACGACGCCATCACGCACTTGTCCGCTCTGCACCCCCAACGAACAGACAAAACAACAAACAGCTTATAAGCATGGATTCAGATCCCAGGCCGGGAACTCCAACAACCGAAGGTAACACAGGGCATTCCACCGTACAGCTTGCAGATCTTGGAGTAGTCGCGGGTGTAGATGCTGTAGCCGACGGAGAGCCTGGTGTCGGCGGCGATGACGCAGTAGTCCGATCCCGCGATCGCGACGCACGTCCTTGAGCAAAAGGAAACGAGAGATTAGAACATACATGTTAGGGATTTCAAAGGAGGTGGAGACCGGGAGGCGGTGCGCACCCTCCGTTGTTCTCGTATACCCAATCGCGGCGGAGAGCCATGTCGCCGTTGATGAGAGAGAGAGAGAGAGAGAGAGAGAGGGGAAGCCTTTTGGTCTCGGTTTCTTTCTCCTCAAGACAGGAGATTGCAGTACGCCGCCGTGCTTTCGGGCTAGGCCGAGAAAAGCCGGTCGTGGCCGCACCGAACCGGGTCGGTCCAGGTCAGAGTCGATTCGGCTGGTTGGATTAACCCGGTTTAATTTAGAAGGATTTTTTGTTTTTCCAAGCAATTTTGAGTATATACATTTTGTTTCATTTGATCTCTCACGATTCATTAAGACTCGTCATAATTCCTCACTGTACCGATGTTGGATACCATTTGTCACCACTCAATCTAATGAAATAATTCTTCCAGTAACTAAACTACAAGTCTCAAATGTTTAAACCCATATATTCCTTATAAATCAATTTATTTTTACTTTAATTAGGAGTGTTACAGTTTAAGCTTATTAGTTTTGATTCATTGGATGTTGTGATTTTCTCATTGGAATCCAAATAATAATGGTAGCTGCTTCTTTTTCTTCATCACTGCACAATGATTAGTGCCAGTAAATAACACTATTTGAGAAGCATTGAGGAAGCTTTGCAATGGCACCCATCTCTATTTAAGCATACATATAAAGTAAAGAAGAATCATTATGTAGCAGCCAAATAGTAGTAGCTTGAGAAGGTGATGGTTCTGAACTCGGCAGAGATATAGATGAAGGCAGATCTTTCAAGAAAGACTGAAAGGGCAGGAAGACAGGAAGAATCTTTATGTAGCAGCAAATAGCAGCAGCTTGAGAAGGTAACAGCCCTGGGGAGGGTGACACACCCTTGTCTTTCACCATGCAAACACCAAGATGTTGAAGACAAACTTGTCGTTTTGTATCCTCGAGTAGAAGAGGGAGAGAAGACTGTATCTTTGGCAGATGAGGCTAATCGAGGAGGGCCCGGTAGATGACGACGAAGCAAGGTAGGATGGCTGTCGGATTGGCCACCAGCAGCTCCTCAAGATTCCCGCCGCTGTCCCCGACCGCCACCGAGTCGTACGCATCCTCATCCTCATCCTCCTCCTCGTCGCACGGCCGCCGGACGCGCCCGGCGATGACCCGGCAGACCAGCATCGCCCGCCGCTCCCCCCCGCCGCTGGCGTCATGCGCGCGGCCGCTGCTGGCGGTGGTGCGCACGCCGCGGGGGTGGTGGGCCCCACCGAAGCCGTGGCGGATTATGGTGCAGACGCTGCAGGGGGCGCTGGAGCTCGAGCCGGAGCAGAGGGAGGTGGAGCCCCGGGCGCCGAGGGCGCAGGCGAGGGAGGTGCAGTGGAAGCGGAGAAGCTCGTTCCCGTCGGCCGCGCAGCGGGAGGGGTGGTGGCGGCGGCGGAACTTCACGGCGGCGCGGTAGTCCTCGAAGGGGGCGACGGCGCTGGGGGCGTTGTGGACCTTTAGGATCCGCTCGATCTTGCAGATCGGACGGTCCTTCTTTTGCCAACTGGACTTAAAGATTATCTCCACTACGTTGCACGCCGAATCCTCCGTCCCCAACTCCGACACTGCGCCGTACGCAATTACAAGAAATATACGTACGTTTGACGAAGAAACATGCACGAATCATTCCAATTATACGTATAATCTTCATTTAACTCCAATTTTGATATATATATATATATATATATATATATATATATATGTCTGTATTGAGAGGAAAAAGATGGAAATTGAGGAGCTGATGGTGTTTGTATTGTACGTGACAGTATCATCCTTCTTCCTCTCAAACCAATCTATAAGAAAGTACCTGCATGGCGCACAGCCTGATGCAGCTCCAGCGTCTCGGGCTTGGTGAACACCTCGCCGCACTCGGAACACGAGCACAGCGTCGTCCTCGGCCTCGGATACCTCCTGCGTACACCAACACTATGAATCGGTGATGGAGTCCTCATCTAAATCTGCCTCATAGCTGAGCAGGAAATGAGCACCTTGAGGAGGGATCGATCGAGACTGCGTGGCACTCGTAGCACCCTGCCAGCTTGGGCAGCTGCATTCCGCCCCTGGAGTAGTAGCTGCCGCAACCGAGGGACGAAACCGGTGGGGGGAGGTGCCGGGCGGGCCGGACCGCCGGAGCAAGCGGCGCGGTCTCACGCTGGGAGGTGGAGCCGGCGTCCGAGTTGGGGTCGGTGTCCGAGCGGTGGACGACGACGTCGCGGAGGGCGCAGATGGACGGCCCGCAGGCCGCGCGGCCGAGCTTCCCGGCGGTCGACGCGGGGTCGTGGACGCGGGACGCGGCGGTGATCCGGCAGCTTAGCAGGCCCTTGAACTGCTCCCAGGACGAGGAGGAGGATGGAGGCAGCTGTGTCTCGGTAGGGGGAGATGGCGGTGGCTTCTTCTTCTTCTTCTTCGTGGCCATCTTTCTTCTCTCATGTTGGACATCGGGGTGGCTATGTTGGTGGCGCTGTCGGTTAGCGGTGGTGGCGACCGGGAAGAAGGAGGTGAGAACCATCAGTATGAGAGCAGCGAAGGGGTGGGTGAGGATCGAAGCCCTTCTCCCCTCCACCATTAACACCTCCGCTTCTCTCTCTCTCTCTCTGCTGCGGAGGGAAGAAAGAGCGAAGGTGGGGATGGAGGAGATGGGATGGTGGTGGTTGGAGACGGTGGTGATGAGGGAAGACTTGTATTGTTTTTGTTGTTGTGTTCTGGTCTCTCACCGTGCCAAATTGTTGTCTTGGTGAGGTGAGGTGACCTTCGCCACCTAATGAATGGGTGTCATCGATCATTAGAATATGTGCAGGAGTGGGAAATTGTGTACTAAATGATTGATCGACTGATATGACCAGCACTTGCATGGTTAGCAGGTTGATATGACTCATATTCATAATTATATTTTTGATTCTACTAGACATAATTATATATTTTTTATTCTTTTAGACATAATTTAATTTTATAACTCTCTATCACACTATAAAAAAGTCTCAAATATATTATGGCTAAGAACATGACACCACTTATCCGATCATATATCATTATTTATTGTCTAATCTAAATTAGTTATTGATGTAAAAGCCTTATATTAACTAAATCTTTTCATCAAGAATTTTGTCAGACACTTCTAATATAATTTTTTAGGTCTCAACCTCAGTGGATTCGATGCTCTATCCAATCATACAAACGATACTAACGAAAAAAAAAGGCAGCCTCAATATTATCATATAAATCAAAAGTATCTTCTCTAATAACTCATCATTATCATGCCAACTTATTCTAACTTCAACATTGGGAGGATTCCACTCATCCACATTTTTAATATTTTCTCCATCTTATCTTCTGAATATTATTAATTGTTAACAGCCAAATTGGTCTAAGAGTCATTCATATATAATCCAAGAGTAATATGCTGATGTTATTTTTAATCTTTAAGAGGATGGAAGTTTGTATTTTCATGTGATTAGTAGCTTAAATTTATCTTCTTTTCTCATTATGCTAAATAATTTAGACACAACAAACCTTAATTTAATCAATTTTACATCACCATAATATTATATCATATATTATAATGTTGAATAAAATCATTCCTTTAAATATAAATCTTATGATATTCCAATATCTTAACATAATTTATGAAGATAAATAAAATATATGATATTAATGATAATTTTGTTAGGAACGAGTCGGCACTAAGAGGGGGGTGAATTAGTACGACGGTAAAAACTATGTCGTTCAAAAATCTTTCATTTCGATTAAACCTGTTTTGGAAAGATATTAACTTAAAAGCGTAAGGGAGCTTAGTGAAAACAATAAGAAGATAAAGCAGTTTGCAAGGTAAATTACTCAAAAGGAAATGTAAATCAATTTTATAGTGGTTTGATCGTCGTGACGTACATCCACTCCCGATTCCTCTTCAGTCGAGGTTACTGGCTTCCACTACCGGTCTTTCTTCAATAGACGAAGACCAACTACCCTTTTTACACTCTTATTCTCCTTTTCACAGGTTTAAGAGATAATCTATTACAAGCACTCACTCATCTTTAAACAGAATTCTAAACTTAGAATTTAGAGGAGGGGATCTCTCAAGTGATTATTACAGCATTTTCCCACTTTTAAATTCTTTGTGCTTGTGTATGTTAACTAGAGATGAGAGGGGTATTTATAGGTCTTAAGTGGATTCAAATTTATAGCCTAAAAGTGTCTTATCCCCGATTTTCGAGGTACTAGCGGTACTATCGCCTGCAGCACTGACATTGGGTGGTACTATCGCCTGACAGTCTCTTGGAGACTGTGTCTAGGCGGTACCATCGCTCGATAGTCTCGAGACTATGCCATGATGGTGCCACTTGTTAGGACATTGTTTGGACCTTTCACTTAGCCCAATACAACCCAAACTTAGGCCCAATTGACCCCTAATTGATTTTGTCCAATTCCAACCCAATTATGTGCTAACTACGAATTTTAAGACATACACTAAGTTAAATAAGTTCGTTAGTCTAGGTTTCTTCCGATGAGCTTCCAGCAATCTTCTAGCGAACTTCCAACGATCTCTCGGTAATGTTCCAGCGGACTCCCAACAAGCTCTTGGACTTCATGACAATCTTTTTGGTGAGTTCCAACGAGCTTCTTTGGCAAGCTCCTGGACTCCTAACAAAATTTTGTTCTTGACTTCGGAACTTCATTTTGCTTTATGCCTTGATCACTATCGTAGTTAAAACCTACTTCAATATAGATAATTATTATAAAGCTTGAATCAAATGTTGTCTGGTATGTCACTGGTTCATCAATGCTTCATCCGATTCTTTGGTGCATAGTCCTCTCTTGTGGCCTATTGCCCAATCAGCCAGTTGACCTTCGTAACTCCGATTTTCTTAGTATAATTTTCGCTCTTCTTGGCCCGATGCCCAAATCCATGGCCCGAAGTCTTCTGTCGATACGTCAATTGATCATCCAGCTCGACGTTCAATCTTCTGACATGTTTCTCTTCGGCCTAACATGATTCTTCATACTTTAATTGTCTCTCCCCGATCAAAGCTTCATGCGTCACTCAAAACGCAGATCAAATCATAAACATTATCAATTGGTTTTATCATCAAAATATGAGATTCAACAATCTCCCCCTTTTTTTGTGATGACAACAAATTGATGA